GAGTGAATTTCACGTCGACATTCGAGACATGTTATCTTATATGTGATTGGTTAGTCCATAAATTATAGTCTCGCCCAATGGTTACTTAGATATTAACAAACGAAATATCATTGCCTGACTTATTTAACCAGAATTCTACATTTAAATGTAGAATCTAATTGAGTTAAAAAATAAATAAATCAAAATTTTGTTCAATAAAATATTGGCATAAAAAAATAATTTTTTAGAAGCATTAGTTGAATGATGCATATTTTCAGAAGGGGTTTTGTGGAGATTTTAAAAAATTCACTGATTGGAATCATGAGTCAAGTGAAGCAAGACCACAATGAAAAACCTAGAAGCACTGGACGGCCGTTTCGTCCTGGTACATGACTTCTCAGCAGTGCGCATCCACGGTTCCGCGCCCCGCGAGATTCGAACCCAAGATCTATCAGTCTCGCACCAGGCGCTTAACCAACTAGACCACTGAGCCGGCTAGCATCCAACGGTGTTGATGTCTAACTTCAACCAATCCACGAAGTTGCGCTACCGTTCACCATTTTCTTCAGTGAGCTGATATCTCAGAACAGACTTGGTTGAACTCCACAGGTAACGGCTTCTCACTAGAATTCCATTAGTATCTCTTGAAGTCAGGTCCTGGGTTCGGATCTCGCGATGTGCGGGATCGTGGATGCGCACTGCTGAGGAGTCCCACACTAAGACGAAACGGCCGTCTAGTGCTTCCAGGTTTTCCATGGTGGTCTAGCTTCAATTGACTTTGGCTTTGTTACGAATGAGAAAAAGATTCAGTATGAGACAGTTAATCTTTATATATTATTGTGTTAGAATTTTTCTTAAAATTATCTGAAACTGACTATGGATTAATTAGATTGTATTCTTTTAATTATCTATTTATGAAGTTAAGTTTTATCATGAGTTGATATCTTTTTGACAATTGTTAGGCGGGAAGAATCCTTATCACTGCTCACTCATAACCTTTTATGTAATCCAACAATATACATTTAAGTCTCCCGGTCAACATGATATCTTACAGCTACTGATTTGGGAATAAATGAAAAACGTTTTTTACTCAAGTCAGCTTGCTATAGAAATGAATCACCATGTAGTATCATCATTAACAAATAGTTTCATTTTTGACTTTAATAATTAACTTCATGTTTTCTCACTAAAAGCCACATACGAGTGACAGCAGAATTGTAACATAATCAAGTGATTTGTAGAGGTATTTCTATATTATGGGAGATATGTCATTATTTGACTGATGTTCAAGCTTTACATCACTGATTTCTAGTTCAGTTATAAAATTTTTAACTGTGACATACAAAAGTCATGGATGTTACCTTATCTAGAGTTTTGTTTTTGGACTACCGGGGAGTATTGTGACAAAAAATACAGTTATCAAGTTCTACTTCGTTTTATATCACTAATATAATTAAAACATAACATATACATAAAGGTAAATAAACCAATCTAGCTAAAGACGTTTATCATTGCTTTTTTACAATATATTTCTGCTTGAACATCTCGTTACCATCCAAATCTCTAGTCTTTTTAATATACATTTATTATTTATTCACTTATTTAAAAACATAAAGATAGGTGCAAGAAAGCAACAAATAGATATGCGCCACATAAGTCATTCTATTTGTGTGAGGGCTAGAATACTGCCCAGGTGCCCAAACAGAAGCAGGTGGTTTTCTTAGGGGGCCACACTCGTAGCCTTCGACCTAAAGGTCTGAACCATAAGGCAATGGAGCAACATCAGGAGATGCAGTCCCATAGTAGCCGGTGAGCAACGATTGGTTGATACGCCATTTGTTCCTTCAGGACCCTGGAGCCTCATTGGTTTGGAATCAGGGTTTCCCAAGTCCCACAGGTAGATCTTCCATATGCACCAACCCTGTTAAAGCGCCGGACATTCGCTTTTCGTCCTCTCAGTTTCGTAACCAACACCATTGCCGCGAGAAGGCACTGAGTAGAACTTCCCTGGCAGTGAGTGTATGCACGCGGCTAAATGAAAGACAGAGAGAGAGCTGACTATCCTCACTTTCGTCCGTACCAGGGCATTTGAAGGCTTCTATATTCATATCTTTTAATGTGACAATAATTCAAAGAAAATAAAACAGCGATTCAATATATTTGTGCACATTACTGAAGAAAATGATTTAATTTGTCATAAATATATTAATATCTATTTTTTTCAGTAGTTTTGAGTAGTTTATCTCTTAAAACTAACATAAATCAAATTGTTTCAGAAAAAAAGTGTTAGATCTAATTTGTAAAATACTTAACAATATTCAATTTGTTTTGAGCAATTATTAGATAAATCTTTTCTTTATTTGAGAATATGATAGTAATTTGCATTCTAGACGATTAGATTGAATGATCAATAGCATTTTCTTATGTCTATATAATTATGCAGCTTATCAGTTATTAAAGCTTATGTAATGAATTCAATAGTCTATCTTGTCTTGTTTTCAATCATAATCTTGTTATGATGAAGAATGTCAGTTTGTGAATATGAGAAGTCATTCGATTAAGAACTAACTTGTTAGAAAACATCTTTTTGTAGTATAATTTTCCATATTGAATATTCTTTTCGATCATAGCATATTAATAGAGATGAAATGTGATTGTTTCAAATGGTGAGATATGTGTTTGAGGTTATACAAAAAAATGGTTTCTTTCAAAGGATTCAGAGGAAATACAAAAAATAATATGTGATATATATATATATATATGTATATAGTGTCATCTGATGATGACTTTGTTACGCACGATAACTTTTCGTAGGCTCAAACAGGAATATGAAAAAGCAATGTCAGTGAAACAATCATCATCAAAATTATGTTACTGATTGATTCAGTTATATATGATGATTGATTACGCTATACGGTATGAATTAAACAGAATAATATAATCATCAACTTAAATTATAATTCTTAATTATTTTCAAGTCAGTAGTATTGCGCAGGTCGTTTATTAGTTAAAAAAATATTGATAGTGACGTAGTGGCAATTCTAAGTAGATTTACGTTGAAAATAGTGAACTGGTGTCAAGAAGACAAATGGTAAAATGTGAAATATAATCTAAAAGTAATATGTGAACAATTGCATTTTAGTACTTTCATATTATTTACAACATGAACATGTTATACATTTACTTGGTATTGTTTATTTGAATCTAACCATTGATGTGTAGGATTGAAATTGATCAGTCTCTTACTGGTATATATGCTTACTGTGAGTATCGCCACGATATTGCCTTAATTCACAAACATTTTAAGCAAAGATGGATCGTGGCTAGTAGTGGAATCCAGTTCCGGCCTTTAGAGACTCTTTATCTGAATGTACTTGCATTTCAGAGTTGATGTTCACTCAAGGACTCGAATCCACTACTGTCCGCATCAAACATCATCGAGTTATCCACTTAGCTACTAATTTCTGATAACCACTTGCTTGTACAATGGGGTGAATTTAAATTTACTTGGTATTGTTTGCTTGAAACTTTCCATCTTTGCTTATGAAGCTTGTGAATTAAGGGAATATCGAGGCAACACGCACAGTATGTACATATGTCAATAACAGACTAATCACTTGCAGTTTTAAACCTTAATAGGAAGATTCAAGTAAATAATACCAGGTGAATTTAAATTATATATTCGTTGAAATGAAAAAGAAATCTATCTATTGCGTTTGTATGCTTTAAAATTAATGGGTCTTTTATAACAATAATTAATTTAGACTGTACAGTGTCTTCAGAAAATCAAATACTTATCTACAAAATCATAATAATTTTATTTGGATGTGTGATGTAGCATGGCATTGACAGAGAAGTTTTATATTTTATCTTATCCTATATGTCCCGTATGTCTTGAAGAATAGTGTGAAGAATTTCGAATCTAAGGACTCATATTCATATATTTGTTGAAGTTAGGTGCATGTATAACCTTTATATGTGACAATCTATAAGACAGTTTCTTTCGAATTATGAATACAGTGGTCTTGAGTGCTGTTAGAGGTATGAGGGCCATAATCACTTCCCGGTCGCTCACTTCCTGGAAAGGCTCTTCTGGAGGTACCTGAAAAGGAAATCGGATTGAAGGTGGTCTTAGTGACCTGAGAGCGTGGCCGCATGCCAAAGGGAAAACTGCTTGAGGTCGGTCACACACGACTTGTTCGTGAGTAATTTTCATCTTAGCTCCGTAATTATTGGGACCTTACCGCCTGAGACGGATATCCGTGGGATAAGGCAAGGTGCATATTTTTAGGGTCGACCTATTCTAACCTCGCCCTCCTCGTGGGAAGGCAGCATCGCTGTCATGCTGGTTGTCTGAAGGAAGCATCTTACTGCAGTCACACCTCTGCACAGTCAGCAGTACGACTTCGCTTTCGGACCTTGGATTTGCTGCTTTTAATCTTACTGTTCTTCCACCGACCTGTCTGGCATGGTAGGACCTTGAGGAACGATTGTTTTATCACGATAGGTAAGCCTGACCACCACGTTAAGGTAACAACAACGGTCGGGTCTTTTTTAATTAAATATCCAAATAACAAATAAATGCTTGAAAATTCAGAGCTATAATTCGAAACAAGAAACTGAGAACTGGTTCAAGTTTTCTAAATGGTTTCCTGACTTTATCTAATGTCTAGCTAATATCTATTGCTGTTTGGAGGTAGAATTTCGTGCATGATCTCACGGTGATAACTATGCCTCTAAAAGTCACCAATAAAAAATTCCAATCATTAAGATTTCTAGGAGCTGAACAATAATTAATTTTTATGTTATATTAGCTAAACGTCTTTGAAGTTTGAGACGAAAAATGAAGTCAATGGAGATATAACTATTGAGTGATATCAATGTACTAGTTTTCCCTGATAACCATTATTATAATCTAAATTTAATGTCATTGGGACTTGAATTAAATAAATCATGTAACAGTAATGAGAAATACTTAAAATGTAATCTATTTTAAATGCTCATTTTTCTTATTCTATTAGCCATACGGTGGAGCTCAATTAAAAATTGAATGGGATTATAACAATCCAGCATCGTTATTGGAGAATGGACAAATTTGTGATCGTGTTGGCGGAAAAGAATGTGATGTTTATTTCACATTATGTCTAAAAAATGCAGCCTCAGTTACAGATGAGTAAGTTAATCAACTTAAAATTTGTAATAGTTATAGAATGTATTAATTGTACGACTTAAGAATCAAGTTATAGTTTTTTGAATACAAAATATCATATTCGTTACATTGAAGATTGATAAAAATTATTTGAATAGTTCTTTTGGTAGCATTCAAGTTCACAATTGTTATACATAGATTGAATTAGCTCGGAAATGTAGACGTTTCTAATCAAGCAAACTTGGTTAGTTGCTATACGATATAGTCTGCTGATCAGTTTGAAGAATTTAAAGTTATTTTATATATAGTTCTTACTGTTCACTTAGCTGGAAAAAGTAAAAAATAAGAAATGTAGTCGAATAGAATAAATTTAATCATTTGAAGCATTCCTTCATGTGACTGTAATCTAAAACGCATAAATATATGCGTAGGAAAATATATGCAAATACCTACATCAATGTGATCTTCAGTTTTAACTGATGAATCCCTTTCAATGTGATAAAGTTAATTTTTTTTTATCTTATTACTTTTTTACCATAAATATTTTGCCATCGCTTCAAGTTGTTAACAAGTAAGGCAATTCTTAAAAGGAGTGAATTTGTAACAGCTCAGGTTGGTTGGTTAAGAGTTGACCCCAAACAACCAAGCTTATGCCAAAACAGTATTGTTCAAGTATTCATTCACTTCCTTATTTTTCATAAGCGTTATATTCCCTATTATCTTGAATGTTGAGAGCCTTTGTTGGTCTGAACAGATAATCCCACGCTCCACTGCGACTGCGCGAAGATCGAAATAAAGACCTATTCACTACTTCTCTGGTTTCTTCTATCAATAGCACGAGGGTTACCTTAAGGCACGAAAAATTCATAGTACATAGATAAAATGATTGTTTTCATCTACATGTAATGGATATTAACCATAATATTCAACATCAAGATCAAGCTTTTGTTAGATTTTTGTTCGTACAATACCGTGTCTAACGAATTGAATTTCAAACATTTCCATTCACCTTAAAAGGGTGGATTATTGAATACGGTGACATAATGACCCAAACTTAAATAGTGGTAAATAATTCAATTTATTTGGTAAATTCAGCAAACTTAATTTATAGCATAAAGTTGTGGAGATTGTCGAATTTCATCGAAATCATGAATCGATCAATGTTACCCAGCCATTGAAAGTCTGGAAGTACTGAGTGGTCATTTCGTCCTACTATAATATTCAGTAGTGTACATCCAAAATTCGTATCAAGAACTTTTGGTCTAGTGAGAACGCTTAACCTCCCAGACCACTGAGCTTATATCTAACGGTATTGTGCGATCGCCTTCGACTGTGTTCAGTAGATAACTTTCTAAAACCTGACACAGTTGAATTCCACTGGTGACAGTTTCTCACTAGAACTCCGAGAATTACCTCTCAAAGTTAATAACGAGTCAGCAGAAGATAATTTTAAGTAAGGAATTGTGAAGATTGTTGAATTTTAACAACATCATGAACCAATTTTATTTTCAATGAAACTTCAAGGAAACTTTTAAAGTTTTGACTCTCTATTAAGATGTTATAATTGATGTGAAATAGCTGTAATGAATGACATTTTTATATATTAGATGCATCATAAATATAATCACTTAATAGCTTAACGTTTGTTTATAATGAAAAAGATTGTTTGACATTATGAACTAAGTTGCCATTTTGTTTGTCTTGTTTTTTTTGTTTAAGTCGAATGTGACCTTCTTATTTGAATTTTTGTTCTATCACACATTATTAAAATGAATATGCTCAATTTTAATTTTATCATCATATTAAAAGGTCAACATAATAATAATAATAGTTATAGTAATAATAGTGATACTACTTACTAATAATGATAATGACAATAATAACTTCCTGAATTGAACTTTTGTTAAAATAGTAATTGACACTTCTCATATATTAAATATTAAATTCTCTATGGGATTCAATTTACATGATAAAACTGTTTTAGAATATTTTATTTTAAAAAAAAAAACATAATGAAAAGTATTTTTAAGGATAAAAGATGAATATGTGGTGTGAGCTACTTATACTTACATTCATATAAGTAGTATATAACGATAATCAGATATAGAATGTATTTCAGTGGAAGATTGAGAAGGAAATAACTGGGAATGGAAAGTAATTCATATAAAAATGCAAGAACGATTAAATCTGAAACAATGGACCGATATTTGCCAAAGAAATAGTCAAGTTTGAGACAATGGATTGATATTTTGCAAATTAAGTATTTACTGTATTGTTCTCAGAATTTAGTAAGATGTTTTGTAGTTTCAGGATCAAATACATTCGGTTGCTTACCAATTTGCGTTTTGTTGTTGTTTTTAATCATTCGATAAATAAGTTATCGTGTAACCTGGTTTAAATTTTGTACATTGGTTTACATTTAAACTAATCATTATATTTGAATTAAATACTGAACGAGTTTTAAATATTTGATCATAAAACATTGTAGTAGTCGGAATTCGATATTATTCTTAAACTATTCGGCCTGATAACCGTCACTAGATAACGCCATCATTGTTTTATAGATCAGTAGATGAATAGGAAGCGTTGCTCATCTTTATTGTTGCACCGTACACAGGTCACCAAAAGCATAGGCATATAAATTAAGAATGAAAGGCTAGTCTTGAAGAACAAGCGAGTAAATGAGCGAACGAGTCGAATGAATAGGATTAAAATGCACATGTATATATACATATATTTACTTCCTTACGCCTGTTACTTCCAATGGAGCATGAGCCACCGACTTGTATTCTCCAACCCACTCAGTCCTGGGTATTAATTTCTAGTTCTATTCAATTGTTGTTCATTCTTCTCATGTCTGTCTCCATTTCTCGGCGTAATGTGTTCTTTGGTCTTCCTCTCCTACTTTGTCCTTGAGGATTTCAAGTAAGGGCTTGTCTTACGATGCAGTTGGGTGCTTTCCTCAATGATCATGCCTGGAAACTGGCGTGAATTCTGTAATTATTATTTTCGGAATATATTATGTATATAATATTCTGAAAATAATAATTACCGCATTCACGCCAGTTTACAGGCATGATCAGTTTGATATAAATAGTAACATTAGATGTAGAGAACAAACATGTGATAGAAGATAGTTTTAAGTATATTAGTTCAGTAATTGTTTAAGTAATATATGTATTACAGCGATCCACTGCATCAGCCAGGAACTTTTAATTTTTCTTTAGTGATAGGCCTGTTGATTTATGAACGGTGTATTTAAGGTCATTTCTTGTGCCAGGGTTAACGTACAGTAACAGAAAAGTAGGTGGTTTTACTTAAGGAATTAACTAATAAGAATGGTCAAACATTTAATGTTCCTATAATCTCACTTGTCGAATAAGATACACTTACAGGTGCATGAACATATAGTGCATCTTCAGAGGAGCAGTATGCATCAATGCAGAGAACAAATAATGGGAGTGATTTTATCGTACGGATAGATTGTGGTAGATAATTCTAGAGTCTAGAAAATTTACAGGTAAAGTAATTCATAGAGAGAGATGATTTATAATGAGTTTTTTACACTAGTGACAAGGTGTTACGGATGTCGTAATGAGATGTTTATGCATATTGAATTACTAGATTGGATATAAAAGATAGTTTATTAAGTATATTGAAGAAAAAGATAAGATATATACATAGGAAAATGGATCATCGAATCATTTAGGGGATTAACACTCAAGTTAGAAGAATGAATATGTGCGTAAGCAGTAGGCAATACTCAAGCATACATATTCATACAAGTGCAACAATAACAATGGTACAATGATGTAGATAGGTTTTTATTGTACGAATGACTCTGTCTGTTAAATGAGTCAACAAAACAAAGCATGATCAAATTAAATGTGAATAAACTCAAATGTACTTGAGCTGCTATAACATTATATAGTGAAATCTTTACAGTTGAATACACAGACGTCACAGCTAAATCATTTCGGATTTCGAATGAAATGTTAAATTAAAGGACTAATGGTGATTGTTTATTTTGAAGTTAACTTTTATTACATACTAGTATCTGTCGTTAATTAGTGTTTATAACATCGGAATACCTGGACCCATACTATTTTAATTGTATACACTACTTAAGTATCAACTACACTTTTTTTTATTGATTATACATACTATTCGGATAATGTGCTCCATTGGATAGTGTTTATTTCATTTACTTTTACTGAACACAAGTGAACATTTAATACCACTTAAGATGACCTAGAATATAAAGTGAGTTATATAACTGAGGTCACTGTAAACATATAGAAAAGAGTATGGTCTTTCAGAAACTGGGTTTAATTATATTATTCGACTTTGAAAGCTTTTGACACTAATTATGTTTATTGATAATGATCAAAATGAAGAAAACTAATTAAAAGTACAATGCCAAATAACTCAAAACTGAATAGGAAAGCTGTCTTTATCAGTTTCATATTAAATATTCATTCGAACTATCTATTTACAGACCTAACTAAAGAAAAAAATTGGATTGGATTTTATGCAAATGAGATGACATGAACTACATTTTCAGATTTAGTGTACAACATTGTAAGATTTAAAAAACCGTCTCAATACACTGATATCTATCTATATATATTTTATTCACATTGATCAATTGTCAGATTTGAATAAACTGAACTAGGTAACACTAGACATCTAATAATTTGATAACTTCAAATATTAATATAGTTTATAGTGTCAACAAATGTAACTAATTTACTACTATATTATAACTACGTCTTAACGGTTATGTAGATATTTTCCTATGCAATTTTACAGCCTAAATTTTTAAAGCATTAACCATTACTCTAGGAATATTGTGTATGCTACTGATGTCGACAGATATAAGTAGTATGTATCAACAATCGAAAGTGAAATGTCAAGAGGTAGAAGGTTGAGAAGATCGAAAAGAAGAGAATAAGAACAGACAGTGATTGATATGGAGATAAAGGACAATGAAGTCTAAGATAATTGATTAACATTTTTCAAAT